TGTAGAGCAGGCCAAGTTTCCACATAACTGCAAGCTCGGTGGAGGTAGGTGCAAAGACAGTCTTTGACCTGTACACACACAGAAACTGAGAGGAACTTCTACCCTCTGCTTGTTTGTGGTTTCCCTTGCTTTGGGGAGCAGCATTGCTGTTAGTAACACTGTGACTCCTACCTATTAGCTAGTGAGCATGTTTGCTGCGGACTTGGAGTCTAAGTTTTGCTTCGGTTAACCTTGTTTCCTGGCTGAAGCTCAAGTAGCATCTCATCCTGACTCGTTGATTCTCTCCTGTAGATGGACTCGTGCAGTTCAGCAGGGAAGAAGGGGATGCTGAGATGGTTGCAGTCTGTTTTCCATTAATGCCAGCACAATGGGTTAGAATTTCTTAAAGGATCTTTCTTGTAGAGATGCTCCATAAACTGCGCAGGTGGTTAGTGATTGTTGCGAGGCAGTTATAATTAAAGTCTCTTAGTAACTAACAAACATAAGTCATTTGGATTTGATGCTGAGCAAATGCGGAGGTTATTTTGTCTTCATCACTTCCGGCTGATTATGGTACCTAAAGATTGTATTGTTTAATTGGCTGCTGTGCTCAAGGTGTAGTCTGCTGCAGTCATGTTCACTGCATAAGAGCCTCTGATTAAAACCAGCCAAATGATACTATTTTCTTACAATCTACAACAGTAAATACAATAGTAATTTGAAAGTCATGCTTGAAAACATGTATTGCGCACTTGAAATAATTCTAAAAATCTGTGAAACAAGATTGAACAAGGTCAGATCAATGAACGTATACTTCTTACATTTGAAAGTCTACCTTACTCTCTTTGAATAGGTTTTCTAGAGAAGTCTGACTGTTTCCTATGGCATCTCTGTTTTCTTTCCATTGTTATATGTGGGAGGGGAGGTTACTTAGCTGTTTGCAGGTGAGCTTGATAGCAGTGTTTATAACTTTTCCAAATGTAAATTGTAGGTCTGAGATTTTTGATGTTGGTGTTTCTCTTGGCAAAAGGTGTGTATGAGAGTACGCGCTTTGTTTTCATTTCAACCAAAGTGTTGCAGCCTCAGTTTTCAGAAACAAGACTTAAACAAAAACGAACTATTTAAAAAGCAAAGGCCTGGAGACCTGTCCTTTAGATACTCGAACATGCCTGTGCTCCAGAGCAGGGACTTAAAATTTATCAGGTCCAGCTGTTAGTCATTCTGTGGAAAAGCTGTTCAATTTCAGACTAATTGCAAGCCTTCAAAATCTTGAAGTTCACAGACATTCACTGGAGTCTTCAAAAATACTTAAGTAGCTGATTAATTTGAAGACGTTATGTTGCATCTCAGGTTTCAGCATGAGTTTCTGTGTAGCTGCTGTGGGTCCTCGTATCTTGAGACAGCATCTTCTGAATTCTCAGTGTTCTTTGCTGTTTGACCAGAGTAGTTTGATCTAAATTCAGAAGTGGGTGAGGGAATATGCTAAGAGTGGATGAGAACCACGCAGATGGAAGGTTGGGGCTGGCTGATGGAAAAGAATGAGCCGCACTGATGCGATGGTCAGGAGGCTGTCTCCCCACGAACGCCTGGGGTGTAACCCAGGTTCTAAGTTCATCTGAAACTGTTCATTTGCTGTTGGTGATTGTTAATATGCCTTTTCTTTCTCCTCTTCTCCTCCTCCTAGTATTGCTCCACAGTCAGGATAAAAGCCTCGTGTGTCTCGCCAGGCACTGAGCGCCATACCTTCCACAGTGCCTATGCATAAAGAGGGGCTGGCAGAAGCATATCTCCTGTTGCAAATATGTATGGCTTAACACTTCTCTCTGCGAAGTAAGGGTAAAGGAGCCTTAAAAATGCATTTCCCCATAGCTATAAGGGTGAATTCTCTTACGTCACTCCGTTAACTCTACGGTACAAGTTTTTGTGGTGGATCTACAAACTTTGTATGAGAACAGCCAGGTAGGAAAACCCCATGAGATTCAGCCTATGATGCCATGTAATGAGTCTTAATTTTTTCGTGTTTGCCTTTTCTTTCCCCCACCTCATTATTGTGCTAATTAAGGTTCCCTGAGTGATCTTAGTTGTCCTCTGCAATCCGTAGGTACTGTTACACAGTCCTGTTTGTGGAAGTGGTATATGGACCACTGCTGACCCACCAGAACACTCCTCCGTCCATCGGGCTTGAGCTGGTGTGGTCAAGCAATGCTGGCAATCCCTTTTCCCAGGTCTGTTTAGGAGTGTGGAGGGAGTAGGCAGTAGTCAGGGAGAATACTAACCTGTTACAGGTCTTGATAATCGACTGCTCTCAAGTGCTATGTTTGTAAGAGGTGTCTTTGCAGGAAAATGTGTCATGTACTTAAGGAATGGTCTAAAGACCCCAGTGAAAGATAGCGCCTGTCAGACAGGTTTGTCTGTTGCCTGTGTACACTCAAGGTATCCCCGTAGGAGACAGCTACTAGGACTCAACTGCACAAGTTGTTCCAGGATCAAGTGTCTGCTTCTGGCAACCCCTTTTGCAGCAGAAACTCTAGAATGTGTAGGGCATCAGTCACCCATGTGCCTTTGTCCTGTAGCTCATCCATGGCAAACCCAGCGCTCCCGGAGCTCCTGAGGCTCAGGTACGTGCACATGTGCCGTAGGGCTTGTCCCGTAGTAGGGGAAGGGCCATGGGATGTAGTTCTTCTTTGGTCCTGGAGACGCAAAATTGAGATGTACATAATACGTTTCACTAGTTTTATATGCTGCTTAATCCAGTCATATGTCCAAATGGCGGGGGGGGAAACTGATGGCAAAAAAAGGAAGGTAAACAACAGACGATATATATGTTGAAGTGTAATGTTCTGGCTCATAACGATATCCACATCAAGCGGCAAATATCTCGGCAGAAATGTCTTTTGTACTCTTTGTTTCTCTGGCCTCTTTCATTAATCTCGCTGTCATGAGCTATGGTCTGTGAGCTTTTAACTTAAAATCTGTGTGTTATAGTTTCATCTTTCTGAGCAGTTCAGCTTATTTTAAGTTTGCGATTCAGGTTCATGTTCATTTGAAGATCATTCTATCAGTATATATTTGAAGAGCTTTATTTTGCTGTTCAATAACGGTTAGTACCTTGGAGCTCTGTAAATCTTTTACGATGAGGGGAAGAAAACAAAATGACTGCAAAAGATGGTGTGTTGATATAAGTTGGCATTCCTCTACACAACTGAAGTCATAGATCTTTAAATGCGATAAAATAGTCTGTAAAGTACTGCCCCTGTCTTTTTCAAAATCTGCGCAGAATAACTTTAGTAAGAAGGTAGAAATAACTTCATTTAAAAAAGAAATTCTCTTGCATCATCCTCCTAAAATTCTGCTGGTTGAGGTGCACGGAGATTTCCTGGTTTAAGTTGAATGTTTCAAAAATGCTTTGTTTAGATTATTAGCTAAAGGACCAGTTCTAAAGTGCTGAAAACAGAAATTATTGAGAAGTGAAGCACGTATATGGAGGGATTTACTGCAGCAAAGATTAGTAGCGACTAATTTGTAGGCACTCCTGCCTGCAGGAGTGGAACCGATGGCTCCGAGTTGCGTGCTGAAGAGCTGTCTGCGATCCACAGAGGTTTGGCTACAGAGGAATGGGTTTACGTAGCCTGTTTTCACTGTGGCAGTAAGTGAACTCTAACGAATCATGGAACCATGGAACGCTTTGGGTGGGAAGGGCCCTTTAGAGCCCACCCAGCCCAGCCCCTGCAGTGCCAGGGACAGCTTTAACCAGCCCAGGGTGCTCACAGCCCCGTCCAGCCTGGCCGGGGATGTTCCCAGGGATGGGGCCTCCACCGCCTCTGGGCAACCTGTGCCAGTGCCTCACCACCCGCACTGTAAAACATTTCTTCCTTATATCCGGTCTAAATCTGTTCTTTAGTTTAAAGCCATTACTCCTTGTCCTGTCACAACAGGCCTTGCTAAAAAGCTTAGAATCATAGAATCGTTTAGGTTGGAAAAGACCTTTAAGATCATCCAGCCCAACCATTAACCTACACTACCAAGTCTACTCTAAGCCAATCAAGGGTAGACTAGACTAAACCATGTCCCCAAGTGCCACATCTACCCAAAGAAGCTTGTCCCCATCCTTCCTGTAGGCCCCCTTTAAGTACTGAAAGGCTGCAATATGGTCTCCCCGCAGCCCCCTCCTCTCCAGGCTGAGCACCCCCAGCTCCCCCAGCCTGGCCCCGCAGCAGAGGGGCTCCAGCTCTCGGATCATTTTGGTGGCCCTCTTCTGGACCCACTGCAGCAGGTCGATGTCCTTCTGGTGCTGAGGAGCATCAAAGAAAATCCAGATACTTAAGGGACTGTCTTGTATTTTGCATTAAACAACTGTTGGATGAAATACGGAAACTCCCTTGAAGTAGATGCCAGGTCCGGAACTTGGCGCTTTCCAGGAGGATGTCCCTTTGACTCTTGACTTGTGCTTGCGGTAGCTTCCTCGCCCTGGCTTCGGGGGGCTGGCAGTCCTTAGGACACGCTTCAGCAGTGCGGGAGGAGCGCGTCTCAATCTGACAAGTGAACCTGCATCTCCGAAGTAGTCTTCAGATTCTGTCGAACGCAGCGTTGTCTGTACATTTCTTGTACTTTGAATGTAGCTACCTGAAAGGCTCCCTTGGGAAAGTTGGTCGCAGTACACTGCCTTTGCAAATCCCATGCCTGCTTGGGTGTTTGGATACATCACTGTAGGACTGTAGTTAAGTATGAGTGTGTGCAAAACGGTTTTAGATGTCTTGGGAACTTGAGGGTGAAAACGTAGGTTTAAGAGACTTTGTCTGTGGAACTAAACATGTTTTGTTTTGCTCAATCGTGCATTTTGACCAAAAGGCCTAGCATAATCAAGACTTGTATTTGCATGTAAACCTTTTGCGAATTTAAGAGAAATTCGCCATTAGGTATGTTTATGCTTTTGTTCTGTTTTCAGTCTCTGCCCCGGAGGTTAGGGTCTGCTGCCTGGGTGATAAAAACTGTGAGGAAGGGCAAAAGTTTGTATGTAGAAAATGAGCAAGTTCAACCTGTTTCTCCTAGAGATACGAGGACCTGTAATATTTCAGTGTTGGTTAAAGACAAGTGATATTGTGGCAAAATGTATCCATGGTCTAGCTGTTGATACCAACGTTAAAGAACTACGAGTTCCTGTTTTCGCAGAGTAGAAGTAGCTAGGCAGCCCTGAAATAACTTTATTCTTCTTACGAACTGCCGTTAGCTGAAGCGTGCCTGTGAAGAGGGGTCTTGAAGTCTTGGGTGGATAGAGCTGATACTGCTGGGACAGAAAAGTAGTTTTAAAGCATTATGTGTTTTTTGCAGCCTGAAAAGTCAAGAAATACAACATTTCTTTAGCTGTGAAGCAATGAAACTGATCTCTCGGGAGTTCCAAATGAAGATGATAGTCTTCGCAACAATTAAATGAATGGCAGGCTTCCCCATCCCTCATTTTTTTCAAATCTGTTATCAAAGCCTGTAAACTGTGTCCAAGTGAGCAAGTTGGCAATCGAGAAACATTTCCCAAGTTTAGTATTTACAGGTCTGATTTTGGAATAAAGCAATTTCAAGTTGAGTGGATTTAAACTGAGAACCAAAATCAACCTAACTCTAGTTTAAATTAATTTAAAAATAACTTCCTAGAATTTTTTTTCTCAACATATGTTTTAATTATGACAAAAATGTACATTATTTTAATTGCACAACCTAAAAACACATGAAGTGAGTCACATCAGTAGCCGAAATCAATAGACTGCATTCTCTTGGTTGTGTAAGTGTTACGGATCTTCATTTATAACTGTAAATTAAACATATTAAAGATGCTGTACTACTGACTGTGTAGCATCTTAAAGTGAGATATCAGATATTAGAAGTATCTTATACATCACTCCCCAAATTTCTGAAAAATTAATATCTAAGGCAAAAATGTAAAAATAAACTAAAATGAAAATACGTTCTGATGTATAAATGATTTTATCAGTACATTTATCTGTTTAAATGGTTGTGAAATATCTTTTGTGAAAACTTACAACAAATAGTTGATGCCATAATAAATGAATTCAAATTTGCTGACGGTGTAAATTTCAAGTTACTTGGTAACATGAATTTGTTGACAACTTATATTAAAATCTTGATTTTTATTTTTGCATGCAAACCAAATTTTCTATTCACATGATAACTTTTAAAACGGTATAAGGATATGTTTATTTATATACGCACACACACTATCTATTTTTTATCTATATATATAAAACAATGTAATGTAGACCTGAGACTTTCTTACAGTTTAGACTTTTTGTTTTTACATAGTTTAAAAATGGGACGTCGCTCCTCGGACACAGAAGAAGAGAACAGAAGCAGAAGGAAAAAGAAACACCGTAGGCGTTCGTCTTCAAGCAGCTCCTCAGACAGCAGAACATACAACCGTAAAAAATCTGGAAGGAAATCAAGATCAAGGTCACGGTCTCGAGATCTCCAGTCTCGTTCACATTCTTATGAGAAAAGGTGCATTTATAGTAATTTACTCTCTGTTGCAGTTGTTTACGAGTCGGGCTCTTTCGTATCATGCTACAAAGCCAGAAGTGTTTGAATCCAATGTGTAGTCAGTTCTAGGTTGGAATTTTATAGCAAAGGTTGCTCTGAGTCTTGGAAGATGTGGCAATATTTTTACTTCTATATTTAAAGAAAAAAATAAAACCACCACCTCCAAAAAAAATCAGAACACCTTCCCCTCCTCCAAGAATACAAACCCAGTGTATATGCAGATCCAGACGTAACTTCATTATTAAAACAAAAAAAACAACCAACTAAAATAACTTTTTCTTTCTCCTCCTGAATAATGAATTTCTGATCTCTTTTTGGAAATACAATAGTTCATATATTAACGCCAGGTTGAAAAGTAGTTTTGTTCAGCTAGTTACAGGCTATCCTGTGTTATTTTTTTCTGTTGTGATAAACCAAGTAGGTCTTTCCAGACAACAAGGTAGACTTTCTCAATAGAAAGACTTCGTGTGATTTTACAGTAGGTCTATAAATTTGCTGTAACAGCTAGTTTTCACCATTATTCTTGCTATTTTTTTATGTGTACAGAATACAGTAGTCAGCCACAGATCATGTGGCTGGATCTACCAATTTTTTTCTTGACCTAACACCGTAATTCCTTCATCAGAGGCCCCTTTCGGTACCCGACGTTTTTAGGTATCCTGGTTGTCTCACAGTCTGACTTGTGGTGATCCTGGAGTCAAACTGAACGGGTGGTGGTCGATTCATTACTAAGTGGAGCTGGAAAATACTCATTGTATCTAGCTGCACTGTAAACATCCCCAAAACTGCTCCTGACAAACCTTTCTTTAGCTGGCAGAGGAGTGTGTCAATGGGGGGCAAGCTGGCTGGTTGCGGGGGGTCTCTTACTTGTTTAATTCCATCCCCCCTTTCTTCTGTTCCTGCTTAGCATCTACATACAGCCCTTAGGGGACACGGCGAGATGACATGGGCTGCGATGCCAACAATATGCTGATGACATGCAGCTTTATGAATCTCTTTAGTCCAGTGCAGGCATGGCTCTCTCGCAGATAAAAACGGAGCTTGAAGGGAGATTAGAGTCTGGATGAAGACCAGTTGACTTAAATTGAATCCAGAAAAGACAAAAGTGTCTGCTTTTAGGATCTGGCTGGCACCTTTGCTTTGCCCTTAGTTTAGGGCATTTGCTCCTGGCAGTTAAGTCACTATTACACGCTGGCATCCTGCTGGATTTATCCCTGACCCTTAAGAATCAAAAGCAGCAGTGTCTAAGATTACTGTTCTTCATCTTCATTTAGCAGGAACATTGCATTCCTTTCTCAGATGAAGACGTGTTCTTTAGTAGTTAAGCTATATATCTTTTCCAGTTTGTACGACTGCAGCACTGCTTGTGGGTAATACAGCACCTTTTCCCTTGTGCTAGATAAGCACGTATCACCTTGACAACCTCCTGAATTAAAGAAATGTTTCTTATGTGGTGTTACATTTTAATATTACTCAAACATAATGAAGGCCAAAACTGTGGAGGTTCTCATAAGGACTGTAACTGTTACTTGGTTAGCTGTCAGGGAGATGGATACTGAGAGGAAACTTTACAAAAGATTTAAGAATTGGAAAGTATCCCTCCCACCAGTTTTGGGATTGGTTGGTTTAATTTATGTATTTAGTATGTATTCTTTCACCTTTCTCCTATGTGTATAAGAATTTTTGTCTTTGAATAAGCGAAATGGGAAGGTTGGGGGGGATAGGGAAGGGAAGATACCATTCTGACTCTTGACTGAACTCCGGATAAAACTTCCAAGCTCAGATGGAATAAATTAATATAAATTATTTGATTACTAATTGTACTTAAAAAAAAAGGGGGGGGGGAAACTGTCTACATCAAAGCAGAGAAAGTTGAGATAACACATCTCTAAATTTATATATAGAGAGATATGTAAGATATTTTTAGGTGTACATAATTGAAAATACATTTTATGTTTACCTTTTATGAATGTACGTAGTATGTCTGGAAATAATTGTGTAGAGCAGCAATGCAGAAATTAACATTTTATGGGTTTCATTGTTAGCACTGGAGTTGTGGTCCTTATCCCATGTGGTGTATTTCTGTGTAAATCCTGCTGAGAGTGTAGGTCTGAACATTTCTGTAACCTTAGATTTGGCAAAGAGGCAGTGAGCTCCAATGAGCTGGTCATGGGACTAAAGACCATTGAGAGCTGGGTTGTGTTCCTGGCTTTCCCCTTGAGGTATTGCATGATTTGGGGCAAATCAGTTCGCTTCTGTTTCTCCTTCTGCCCTTTTTCTGTCTTGAGATGTACATCTAGAATGTAAGCTCTTTAGGACAGGCGTTGCCCGTGTGTACGTGAATCACTTACTACAGTGTAATAGTGGTACGTGAGGCTTCTACAACATGTTATGATACAAACCCCACAGGTTTGTATGTCCCTTTTAAGTAAACTGTTAGCTTTTTTGTTCTGTTTGGTTTTTGTTTGGCTGGTTTTTTTAGAAGCAGTAGCATACTAATAGCATGGTTTTGTTTTAGACGCAGACACAGATCAAGCAGTAGTTCTTCATACGGTTCTAGAAGAAAACGCAGTCGTAGCCGGTCAAGGGGCAGAGGCAAATCCTACAGGTCTCAAAGGTCGAGATCGAAAAGTAGAACAAGAAGGTAAGACTCTTTTCTGGGAAAAAGAATTATTATTTCTACTGTAAAAACATTAATGTAAAATCTCCATATAGTTACTGAGTTTGGAATATATTGGAAAGAATGGTTGCAAGTGATCGTCTAAACTAATGTCACTTGAAACTCTTCCTAATTTGAAATCTCTATGCTCTGCTTTTGATGCACTAAATCCTTAAATTACACTGGTGGAACAGTTGGTTTTGAAGAGAAGTTATATATTTTGCGTTTGACCAAGTGCAAAAAACATTAATAGTCACCTTGATTTAGCGGTGATCATCTGAAAACTTCTTGTGGATTTCTTTTGATTACTGATTTCCCTAACTCCCCTGCATCACACTGGCTACTTGAAGATCAGACTGAACTGTTATTTTCTCATCTGTATTTCCCTTGGAAAGAGATGAGTAGTTAGTTATGCAAATTTTTCTTAATATTTGAAGGTATATGGTGCTGAAATTTTTGATAAACAGGATTGTGACAAATGGATATCTTCAATAATAAATGTAATTTAAATATTTAAATCTTAGATGTTGCAAATTGTATTATAAAATCTGCTTCATACTTCTATAATTAAAAGCAGCTCAATTTTTGCGTGTATTTTTTCAATTAAAAAGTTTAAATAAAGTTTATCCTTGGATATCAGAATTACTGTTAGCATTTTCTATTGAATTTAAATTAATTATTGAGTGTATCAGGCAAATCAAAGCTTTTTTTGGTATGTGCTTACAGATCTTCAGCCAGGTAATTTTGTGTACCTGCACCAAGAATTTAGAAAAACGTGTTATTTTCACATACCAAATCAGTAGAGCGCTGCCTCTAAATGCTGAGAAATTGTTGTTGAAAGGTGTGAACGTTTCACTTTCTCGCTTATTTGTATTCTCTCATGACTTATTCGCAGCTGTTCATTATAATAGTTGCCTGGACACTTATTGCTGCAGTGCCTTTGTAGTAGCAATTTGGTTATTTAAACTGTCTGATCTCTCTTTGAGTGTCCTTACCATCTGAGCTGTAGACCCCAGATAAGCTACTGCGCTCTGTGTGTAAATATTCCTGCGAATATCCACTGTTTTGCTGACAAAATCAGTTTTAAAACAGTGAAATGTCAAACGAATAAGGTGAAAATGAAGGTGTTTTCCAGTATGTCAGATACTCAGGAAATATGAGAACCTGACTTAAACATCTCGGTTTTATTATAATAAGTAGAAATTGCAGATCTCATTAGACGTAGACTAATAGTCATCTTTTCCAAGGGGTTTACTGATGTTAATTGTCATTGCAATACGTGGAAATTACACACCTAAAAACTTTAAAAACATGACGACTGTTTATTTAATTTTGTGCTAGGAAATACTGTGTGTAAAACAGTTTATGTGTAAAATATACTAGCTTTTCAGTGCTATAGCTATGAAGGTATAGCTGCAGGTCACTTTAAATGATATTTCTATTCAGAGACGTGGTTCTTCAGGGGAAATATTTAGAAATAATGTCCTGAATTACAACAGAAGAGTCTTTTGGCATGTTAAAAGCATAAAACTAAAACGTTAAAAGCATAAAACTAAAACCAACAGGACACATTGAATCCTTTATTGTAATTTTTTCCAAGTCTGCTCTCTGCTGTAATGTTACACCGAGAAGCCACAGATTATATTTCTGGAGAAGAGTTAAATCGGTTGCAGAAAGCTGCTACTAGAGGCCTGTGTTATCCCTGTTTGTTAGCATTGAGGCAGTCGCAGCGATGCTAAATGGTTCCTTTCTTTGCTATCTCAAAAATCTGTCTTGTGCGCTCGATCGAAGGTATGAACAGCTTTCCTAAGAGGACTGAGTACGCTACGATTCTTCAGGCTGGAAAAGAGATCGCTGGGGAAAGAGGGAATGTGATGGAGGGGTATAAAAAAAAAAAATACAAATGAATGGTGTGAAAAGATGGGTAAGGAATGAGTGTTTCCTGTCTCCTCCAGTGTAAGACCTGGGGCAGGCATGAAGTGAAGGAAGTCAGCTGGTGGCAGATCCCGCCGGACAAAAGGAGATGGTTCTTGCGTATTCGCGATTAAGCTGTGGAAGCCCTTGCTGTTGGAGGTGGTGGATACCAGAAGTTGAAATGAACTAAAAAAAGCAGTCAGACAAGAAAAATCCATTTGAAGCTGTTAAATGCGAAGAGACGATATTTGTCTTAGAAAACGTCTGTATTTGCAGTGCTGAAGTAGCATTTTCATGAGAGTTTGGCATCTGTCATTCGTTAATTTTTTTGCTTGGGGTGGGGCAGCTTATTTTCATATGACTTTTAAAGCTAAGTACTGAAGAAAACCCATAAACTAGGTAACAAAATGATCAGCAGTAACTCAGGCAGCCCCTTGCGTTAGTGTAGTAAAGAGCGTGCTACCCACTGAAGTATTCTTGCGGATCTCCAACTTGTGAACTGCCAGTGGCAGGGACTAAAATCTGCTGCCCCACCTGCAAAGCTGCAAGCTGAGGTACGGCAGGGGAGCGAAGATCGGCTCTGCGCCGCTTCTGTTTGTAGCGTTACTGTGGCACCTTCCGAGTACCACCTTCAGCACTTCAGCAACTGGGGGTTCTTTTTTTTTTTATAATTCCCAACGGGAACGGGACTGACACTAGAAAACTAGTTTCATATTGGAAGTTAAGATCCACGGTAAAAATACATGGTAATTTTAAATCACCGGATTCGTTTTTGGCGTAAGTTATGCAGATGGCATAAATTCTGTATCCCAGAATGTCTTTTCTCCTCACAGTCCCCCATCAAATTAAGATATTTTGTTTTTCAAAGTAGTGAAAATATTGGTAAAAGTATATGTGGCTGTAATGTAATTGAGTTTTAGTAACTTCTCTAACGTAGGTGTTTTATTTGCGTGTATGATTTACAGAGCTCCAATGTGTAAAATACTGAAATACCAACTTTTAATTTGAAAAGTTAGATTTTTTTTTTTTATCATGACATGTTTTAAAAATATTTTGAGAAGGTATTGTTTGCATCCTAAAATGATTTTTTTTTCTTTATTTTAGAAGATAAGAAAACTTGTGCATATGGTAACTATTTTATTTTAGATGTGTTTTTTAAAGTCAAAAAAGTGGGGCTTCCTAGTAATGCTATAAATATAAAGCTGTCCTACAGCAAGATAGTACAATGCAAATATGACTTAATAAGATCACAAACTGAATTTCAGCAAAACAACCAAGATTTACATTAAATTAGGAATTTTAAAACCGATTTAGTTTGTTTTACTGAGCATTTGCTTAATAACATTTTGCCTTCTTGCAATCTTTTTAAAGACAATAATTCGTCTGTGAAATGCAGGCACATCCTCAGTAGAAAAATTGAAAGCAACAGCTCACTTTCTGAAACCACACATATAGTGATATAAAGAAATATTTCAGCTCTACGAAATTTAATAAATCATCCCATTTCCTAATTTGATCATATTAGATGCTGATGCGGAAGAAGCATTTCAAATACCATCTCCTCATTAATATACATCAGTCTGGGGAATAGAATGGAATACTTATGCAGAGATGTCACAGTTACTGTTTCTTAGTTTACTAAGTGGAACAGGTTGATGTGATACTGGGTGCTATTTGTCAATGTCTCGCTAAAATGGTTTGGGTCGAGTTATGGAGTCCAGAAAGACGGCGGCTGATAAATCAAAAGTGGATTGAGTGGACAGGAGGCAGTGATTGATACTGTGACAGGATATGAAGAAAGGAATCTTGATACAAGCATGCATGATATTGAATATGAGAAGGAAAATGGCCCTGGAGTATGGATATTATTCAAGGAAATGAGAATAATAATATCATCTTGAAATTATTGCTGGGTGAAGATTAGGATAGCTCTTATTAGAATATTATGCTTCTCCGGAATGGAGAAACTCAGATTTCATATAATTTCTATGTGGATAGAGTCTTGTTAATATTTTTAGAATTTTCACCGCAATTGTCCTGCAAGTTAATCGTATACAAAAATACTTACTTCACGTCGGAACTTGTAACACAAATCTTTTAATTCACGTAGCTCTAAATAGAATTAACCAAAAAATGTTAACCTTTATTCCTTGATTTCATACAATTCTGTGATTATAGAGTATTTCACTATAATTGCCTTTAAACATGCAAGTTTGTTTTTATTGTCTGCCAAGTGTTTTTGGCTTTTCCCTTTACATTAAACTGAAAACTGCTGCCTTGAAATATCTTTAACGCAGTTCAACTTAGATTGACACAATAACAGCTAGTACATCTGGACATATCTAAGAAGAGAAAATATCGTCTGTAAAGTAATCCTGTTTGTAGAATTGATGCCTTCGGACTGTCACTGAAGAAAGTGTTTGATCAGTGTGTTGGATTTTTTTTTTTTCCAGCGTGCGTGCGGGTACGTGGTTACATCTTACTACTTTACCGTTCTCCCAGTCTAATTGATTTAATATTGAATTGTGTGCATCTTATTGCAGTCCAGTGGCAGGGCGACCTACTTCTTAACGTAGTGGAGGGCTTTGGAGTAGGCTTGTTTTTTGGTGTGGAAAAAGCAGCTTGTTGACTAAAGTTGCTATTATCCTAGCAATGTAAACTAGAGTTAACTTACATTCAACCCTCCTAGCTTGCCAGAATTCTTCGTGTTTAGCACTTACAGTTTGTAATATTTAAAAATAGGGTCCTCTAGTCATGCAGAGAAGTGCAACGTGAAAAGGGTCATCAAATAAAGAAATTAGTGGGGTTTTACTATTATTTAAAGTAGTGCTGTGCTGGCATGCATACTGAATAGCCAGGTTCACAAATTTAGTGATCTCTAAAGAGGGAGTACTGTGCGCTGCCTGCTTTACGACGCACGGTGATGATGGAATTACCAGAAAAGAATTCCCCCCCACCCCTTTCTAGATGCATTTTCAACACTGCTGCTTCAAACACAAATGCAATGCTAGACACTGCTTACCCTGACGTTAGGGATTCTTGCCACTGGGTTCGATCTGTTCCCAAAAAGG